TTTCACACAATATGTAGTACCAGCAAAGTGCCCGAAGAATATGCAACGACTTTTACCTGTATCGATCAAATATACGTATGTATACTATATGTGATTATAACTCACCCACTTGCCACTTACCTGTTGCAATGTGATTTCTGTCTCTCTGGTCCCACTCCCTCAGATAATTCTTTTTTTATATTTTCTTTATTTTACACATACAGAGTTTGTTTGTTTTGCAGCGGATTTGGTTGAAATCCGTTTGCTGCCTTAATATTAAATCATTTCGACTGCATTTCCAAATAAAATAAATATTTTAGCAAAGTAGGGGAAAAAATCGTATAAAAAATTCACACAATCCAAAAAGTTTTATTTACAAAGGTGAGACTCTCTCTGTTTTTTTACAATTTACAGCATGCCAGAAATTGAAGGTTAAAAGGGTGGTGGTTGTGGGTGAATACCAAAAAAATTGTGCTGTGTATAAGTGTGTGCCTTAAAAAAAAAAAAGTAAAACTGAGAGGAAGGAAGAAAGGACTACGAAAATTGTTGTATGTGCCACGCATAAATCGGAGGAAGAAAATAGGAGAAAATCGAGGGGGATGGAGCAAAAATTTGATGATTGAATTTGGGTTTTAAGGCGTGGAGAAAATTGTTCAGGATTTTAGCCACTAACTTTTTTCTAGCCAAGTTGTGCAAAATATATATATTATACACGGAGTTGTCCGCTTTCCGGGTCACTTTCACTTTTCCACCAGAAGAAGAGTCGGTGACGGCAACGATGTGAGTTTGTGCTCCTGAAGTGTGTGTGTGTTTCGAGTTGGTGTGTGTGCTGCTGAAATGCTGTGTGAGTGTGGAAAGCAACCAAGGCAACAGAAGCGACACTCAAGCACACTCGTCCTTACACTCACACAAAGATGCGCGCGCGAAAAAAAAGCGATTATCGAGGGCTTCTCAAAAAGAAACTTCTCAATTATAACAAAGTGAAGCTAATGGCCGATAATTTGATTTTTCTCTACTCGAGGACTTTGGCCAACTACCACAGACACACACTCACTCACACACACACGCTGTACACACACTGAAAGCAAAAAGCGTTGGGCTGGATGAAGAGCTTGAACCGTTTTGCACAAGGCACAGGAGCGTTCTGACCGAAATAATTGTGTCTACATCTGAGTAGGAGTCCTCAGCAAATATTCGCAGCTCCTGCGCATGTCCCACGCCAATCGATCCGCTGGTGGTGGCCACGGTCTTGCCCCCGGGGCCAGGATGCCGCCATGGCAGGACAACGTGGCCCACAGCCACTTGTTTGCATCATACAGTGTTTATGCCGTCAAGGCGCAGGCGCCTCGAAAACGTAAACAAAGGCCCAAGCCCAGACTTTGACAGCTAACTCGGAACGGCAGTTGACAGTTGGCATTTTTAATTTGACAGTTGACACACTGAAGTGCTTTCGGCACTAGTCTGGACTGAGCCCTGGCCAGGGTTTCGGTTTCACTTGTCGCCTTTTCAAAAGGCAAAACAAACCAATTGGCGAGCGGTGGCAACGCTTGAAGCCGAAAAACACTTGAAACAAATCACAGCGACCACACAGAGGCACAGTGGGTTTCTCAAGTGGAAATAATACCACAAGCTAGGAATTATGAACTAATGCATCGTAAATAATCAATTCCAAATGAATACTATTTATTTTAAAATTAAGAAAAATATAATAAAGGAATCACCAACATATTATTTAAAACAGACTCCCTTTAAATAAAATTCCTTGTTAACTTGCCGCATGATCCACTGTGTTTAGTCAACTTCCGCTTTTTACCCCAATCCCCCTACAAAATCCCCTTCGAAACCCCATTTTCATTAATTACTTTCGCAGCTTCCCAAGCGAAAAGAGTCCCCACGAGGAGGAGAAACTGTTGCAATGCCTGCTAAAAATATCTTGGATTGCAGCGACAGCCAGACATGCACATAAACATAAATCTTTCGTCTGATCGGAAGGCACATCTCAAGCGTTCAGCAGGTAGCCAGGATGCTAGGAGCCAGCCAGAGGTCAGGGGTCAGTGGCTATCCTTAGCCCTGACGCCACCGTCCCGCTGCGATAGGCCGAAAACGTAAATGTTGGGCAACGCACAAGTCAATTTCAATTGCATTATCCACTTGACACGTCGCGACGAAAACAAATAAACAAACAAGAAGACAAGGATGCGGTTGCCGTGAGAAAAATGAATTGAATACACCGAGAAAAATATATAAAAACAAAATAAGAGGACATGGTTAAATATTAACAAGTATAATTTTGCTGGAATTAAATTATAAAATTATTTTTAAATATTTTAAACCATTTTTATTATAGAATTATTATTTGAATATTTTCCTTTTTTAATAAAATTATTTATATTAGTAAAAATTAAAAATAAATAAAATAAAAGCAAGAAAAATAAAATAATATAATGTAAAAAAAAGTCAAGTCAATTAAAAATATTTATTTTAGTGACTTACAATTCAACAACTATTTTTTGTGAGTGCAGAAAATGAGATGAAATCAGATGGGTTGGAAAGGTCTCGGTATCCGGAGATGTTCGTCTTCTTCGGACGACGCCTCCGCAGCCAGCAATCTTTAGCTTCTGGCCGATCTCGGCGCTGGCTGCGACGATTCCCCTGCTGCTTTTGTCAGTGGTCGTCGAACGGTCGCCGGGCTCAGTTGCGCAGCGAATGTCGCAGCAGAAAGACGGATATATCCACAAGATACTCGTGGGCAAAACGCATCTGTGAAATACAGACCCTCGCTCGTGTGCTCGGATTTAAGTGAATATAATTGAAGACTCGGTGATATATAAATAGTGGAATAAACTCTTTCGTTAACCGCAACGACACGTGCCGGTCACACGCACACACTTTTTTTCCCCCCATCAAGTGAGTGAGTTTCCCGTGGAGAAAATCTAAAAATATTTTGAGCGTCCAACTGGATGCGTTGACTGCATCTGAATCTTTTATGTGCCATTTTGGTAGCAGTTCGCAATTTGCGCATCTCTAAACATTTTACGGTTGCGTTTACTGGTGCAAAATAGAGAAAACACCGCAAGATGGAAATAATATTTTTTATAAATAAAGTGGATGTCGAGGTTTCCTTGTGATCGGTCTTTGACGTCGCCTCTCTCTCTTGTCTCTTTTTCTCTCTCTCTCTCTCGCTCGATCTGTAGATCTCTTTCCCTAGTCGGCGACTTTCTGCAGCTGCCGCCGACACTTTTAACTATATATACAAATGTAGTATATATTGGGGTGTTCTACAGATATAGTCCTATATGTATATATCTGCACATGTACTTTCATCTGCGGGACTCTATATTAATTTTCGCTTAGTTGTCGCCACATCTGTGTCGCCCATTTCCGTTTGTTGTCGTCATTAGTTGATGCCCAAATGCAAAATATATAAATAATATTTGTTGATTTAGAATTGATTTTAAAAGAAAAACAGATGTTTCGCTTTGCTAAATGAATGAATACTTGGTTGCTTATTAATTTGGAAAGTTTTAGGCAATATAAAGTAAAAACAAAGCAGTTTTTGCCTGGTTATATTTTAATAAATTAAGTTTTTTATTTAATAAAAAGTATATAACTTTATTCAACCTCTTAAAGTTTCAATTACATTTAAGCTTGTAATAAAGATAATTTGATTATTTCTTAAGAAAAGCATTCAGCTAATTTTCCAAGGCAAATCTGACTTTGTTTCCATGAACACGGCACCTGTTGGGCCACAACTAGACAATTGCACTTTCAGCCAAGACTGCGGCTGGTATAAATGATGGCTAAAAACAAAACCAAGTGTCCGGTGAAAACACACGGCTGGTACCAGTATCCTGAAGCATCCTCACAATCTTGGGTTCATGAGATAGGACCTAGATAAATGTATTTGTGTCGCATCCGTGGCGCTGATTAGGTGATATTACAAACTGGGGGAAGGGGAGGCGAGGCCAGGATGCGACAGGATGTGCAGGATGGGGGCTTATTCTGTGCTGGGCTGCAAATTGAAAAAGGAAACGCAGCTTGGTCTGAGGCTGACGCACAAGCGTGCATTGGGGACCTTAGGCACTGGGAGAAATTTAACAGGACTTGAGGGATTTTAAATTTCAAAGGAGTCTTAACTAAAAGAGCTTACTTTGTAGGCTCAACAACTGCTGATAATTTTCTATTTAATGTTTAAAACTCTTATAGGTTTCTCTGTTGGCTATGATATTAGATTTTATTTGATAACTCGCTCTTATTATGTGCTTAACAACACTCTAAATGCTCACAACAGAAGCAGTTATTAAATCTACACTATGGGAAATTAATCATTGAGAATTACTTCTGACTTCTGGGAGAATTTCTTAAAGTTTCTCGTGGTTTTGCTGTTATTAAATATTTTGTTTAATTTGAAAACGGTATTAGTTTCCTATTCTTATTCTATAAATATCTAATATTCAATCTAATTTTATAATAAATATAAAGTAAAGATAATATTTTCTCATAAAAATAAATAATTTTCGTAAATGCACTAATAATTCTTGACATTTTAAAACCCTTTTTGTAGCTACCGCTAGATCTCCTTGGACTTCAAGGTGACTTTTATTCCGAGTGCAGTGCAGGATCCCCAGGCCCTCCCTGCTCCCCCTGGCCACAGATAATACTCGTGCTTTGCCACTGCAGTGGTTGATGTAGCTAAATTCAATTTCCAGCAGTTTGCATTAATTTCCCAGCTTACGCCGACCGCCAGGGTGCGCCACTGCTGGTCGGGGCCGCCCCCTTCCTGCATTTTCGTAATTTCAATCGAATCGCAGGAAAAACAGCAACAGCTTTGCGCTGTGCCAGGCAAAACCAGCGAGTGAGGGATACAAATTTCCAAGCTGTATATCTCTCTCTCTGGTTCGGGCATCCTGTGGCTCGATTTCAGCGCAGGATATTCGTTTAGGCGAGATGCCGATGCCGATGTAATGAAGCTGGGCCCGATGCTAACCGGGCATCTGCGACTCTGCAAATTTCCCCACATTTCAGTCTTCGTTTGCCGAGCGTCGTACGCGCAAGTATCCAACAGATACGCGGATAGACGGGCCCCTACAAAAACAACAGAAAATACCCTAAAAAAGAAAAAAAAATAAAGAAATAGAAGAAGTACTTTCTCAGAAATTGAGAAAATGTTACCACAAAACCACAGGCCAAACAAATTTACCAGCAAAAGCGAATGTTAACCAATAAAAAAGCGTTAAATACTAACTAGAAAGTGGCGAAAAAAGCAACCAAAGAATACATATATCCGATATATCTTTTGTGTGGCATCAGCAGCTTTTGAAAATTTGCCAGTGACAGTACCCCAGGAAAAAATATCTGAAATGGAGTTCTCCATGGTAAATGCAATTATATATAACCAGCGAAAGTATTTGAAAACAAGTTAAACGATTGGAGAAAATATTGAAAAAACCAATGAAAAATTTGTTGAGCTGCAGGAAAAATTTCGCTACTTTGTGCGTGTGTGTGTGTGTGTGTGTGTGGTGTGTTTTTGTGTGTAGTATCTTTTGTGCGCCTTGGCTGCTATGTATCTGTGAGATACGCAAAACAATTTGTCTGCGCCATTAGTAGCGCAGAGTGTATATGTATGCGTGTGTTTGTGAGTGAGTGTATGTGTGTGTATCCTGCGCAGTCAACGAAACCAAAGCTGCGTTTCGCATCCTGCCAAATCCTTGTCCCGAAAGGGAGACAGAGGGCAGCGCAATATTTGCGACGTTGACGCAGCCTCCACTCGCCCAAGCTGCTGTTGTTGTTGTTCCTGCCGCTCCGCCACCGATACCGCTGCTGTGTGTGTATCTGCAAAATACGGATACTAGCTACTACACTACCCATGTGCTTTGTCCTGTTTTCTAAATTCTGTTGACTGTTCGGGTTAATTTTTTTAAATATCACTAAACAGAAAATGCCAGGAGTTGTTTCAGGATAAAAGAGGGTTTTAAAGATTACTTGAAAGTGTATTTAAAATATAGGAATTGTGAAATATGCAACATAATAATATGAATATTCTTTTACACGTATTACTTCATAAACTGCCTGGTATTGCCAAAGACTTCTTGAACCCAAAAACATTAGAAATTCTCTTTTGATAAACTTGTTACCATTACACTTGACAAAAGCTTTTTGATTGGGTAGTTAAATTTATATGATTAAGTTTATATTAGTTTCTATTATTTATTTGTCTTAAAAATCTTCTCTTCTTTTTGCTTATAAAAAATAACATAACAAAACAAACAACAAATATATATTTTACTATAAGTTTATATGGAAATTTAGTCATAAATATTAACAACCTTTAATGTCCATTTGGACTTCCACCAATCATATCATCAATTACAAATATTTTGGAACCTTTTTTGAAAGCTTTTTTACTTAAATCTAAAGTAGTACTTGCTTTTGACTTTAAATTAATATTTTTAACTTAAGCCAAAAGTGATCTAAAATCTTTACAAAAATTTAAAATAAAATTAACCAAGAGAGAAAAGAATGTAATCAACTTTGTAAAGCCTCAAATAATTAAAATTTTTATTAAATTTATATATATTTCCTTTAATTTCCTTCCGCTATTTTGGAAAACCCGCGGCAAATAAAACTTTTCGAGAGGGCTTCGCTTCGCCCGGTAATCCTTGGAACTTCTCGCACTTGTCCGTGTCTTGAACTTTTGCCTCAGCTCGAGTTCCTTGCTCGCTTCCTGCTGCCCGAGGGGGCTCTTTTTTTCACTTTGCATGCATGTTTAGTTTTTCAGCTAGTTGGCTTACCGCTTTCCCACCTCGATGCTTTTCCCGCTTTTCCGCTTTCCCTCTGTACCTCGCCATCACTCGCAGGACTTTCGGCTTCAGTTGCGTTTCCGTTCTGCACTCGCTGCAGGACTCGAGCGAGTAACGGGGGAAAAGCAGTGGAAGTTTTCAAGTTCTCGCTAGTTTTCGCCAGTTTCGCTTTTCTCTTTTACGAGGCGTGTGTTTTAAGGTGTCTGTATGTGTGTGCTTGTGAGTGTGTGGTATATTTACAATTCCGCTTTGTTGTTGTTTTCGCGACAGCCATTTTGTATAGCACACTTTGCGTACTATGAAGTTACACACTCACACACACATAGAACCACAGCCTCGCGTAGAGAGAGAGTTTTCTTTTTGATTCTTTTTTATGGAAAATTTCCCTACTTTTCCCGAATATATTTTCCCTATTTTTGTTGTTTTTGTTTCGTGCTCTCTAATTTTTTTTTTTTTTTGCGCGTAGGGAAGAGGTGCCAAAATAAAAGAAAATGTGAAAAAGCGAAAGGAAAAACATCCTTTTCTAACCCCGCTCTCGCTCGCTACCACTCTTCTTCGTCTACCCATCCATCTCTATCTATCTATCTATCTATCTATCTCTATCTCTGAGTCTAGTATCCACAAGAAAAAGAAGAAAAATGTTTGTGTTCTGCTAAATCAAATAAAATAAATGCATTTCGCATTCGGCAAAGCGAAACAAATCCCGAAAAGAAAATGCGACAATATTACAGAGTATGTGTGTGTTGTGTGTATCTGTATGTGGTAGTGTGTGTGTGTGGAAAAGAAAAATGTTAAAAGTGAAATTGTACGACGCCCCTTCGAGTAGAAGAAAATATGCCTATGTCTATACATAAGAAAAAGATTCGTTCAAAATAATTATGAAGAAATCCATTTGGAAGACTATCAAAATATATATGTTCATATGCATGAAATCGGGCCATTGAAATACATACATGTTCAAGTCTTTAAATCAATCTACAAACTCATATATATACATATATTCGACAAAGAAATAATAATTTCAATTTTAGGGAAATTACTTGGAATTCGATAAGGCAGCAAATTGAAATGATTTCGATGTACTTTATATTGCAGTTCACCTTGATTCTTGGAACCCAGTCTTTGGTTTTATTTTAGTAATAAGATTGTGTTCCTATTTCCGGAAAATGTAATTTCATTGGAACAATTAAATGGGTTTCATTTTCATATAAAATACAAAGCGTTTTCCTCTTTTGCATTGTGACAAAAGAAGAGAAGAATTTCTTAGTAAAGATGCAATGAAAGTTTCTTGTTCCAGGAAAAACTGTTATTCTCTAATCATTTTTGAGTAGTTGATTTTATACTTCAACTTGGAGTTGCAATTAATTAAATTGTTTAATAAAATAAACAACAAACTCTAATTTATATGTATTTTACGAATTTCCCGATAACATAAATCAATTTTAATTTAAGTTTCAATATTTTTCAAGTCCAAAGCTTATAATTGAAAAGCCCAATCGGCAGCTAGCATCTTGTGCCTTTTGGCCACAAGTCAGGTAATCGGAAGACCAGTAGCATCGATTTTCTTGAACCCGCCTGAAGGTAAATTCCTTCATTCTGCCGAAAGGAAACACGTTCTCTAATAAAGGCTGCTACTGCTGCTGCTGCAGACTTATTGCAATTTCGAGCCCAGGGGCCTCTTCACAAAGTGAATGGCAATCTCATTGATTCCGGAATGGCATCCTTTTGGCAATCCTTTTGAAACGAAACGCATGTATCCCTATTTTGTGTGGGCTAAAAACCGTCATATATACCTAAAACCTAAGCTCGTGCGTTATGAAATGTCATTACGTGGGATGAACATTATTCCCCTTTCAAAAGTCAAACGTCTATACGGATAATTAATTACAACTTGGCGTGTTTCCCTTTTGCTGATTTTAACGGAAATTATTATTAATTGGTCGCGGAAAACTGTGGGGGCTGACTTTAGATATTGAAACAAACAAGGGGTAATTGTATCACTTTTGATCAAATTAACAATTTAATGTCTCTTTTGCAGATTTAAACAAAAGTGTCGATTTATTGGGAAAGGAAACACACTCACCTGCGGGTGATAGCTTTAGCGATGAGCTGCCTGCATTTGAAGAACTTTAAACGCGCCAAGTGGTCGCCCCTTTTAGCCAGGAGTTAAGAAGCCACAGATATAACCCACACACAGACACACATATAAATACATTCGAAAGAAGGACCTTTTCAAGGATATACCATACACAGAAGGACCATATTTGAGTGGTGTTTTTGGCAGGAGGCTTCTCCAGGATGCAGCTGGTGCCGTGGGTGCTGCTGGCCCTGATGCTGGCGGATTATAATCCATCGCTGGCCCAGCGACCGCTGATCATGAACCACACGTTCAGCTCGCTGCCCATGTCCCAGCATGCCAGCTTCACCAACAGTTGGCCAGGTGCCTCCTCCTCTGCCGGATCCACGGGTAAGCAACTACGCAACGGCCGGCTCCATGAGCAGCCGCTGCCTTTGCCGCAGCCTACCTCGCCAGTGGTCACTCAGTACGAGGATTACGAGGTGGCTCCCGGATCGCCAGGCTCACGCAGGGATAACAAGCGACGGTTGGCTCAGCTGGCGCCGGGACTGCTGCCACGTCCTAGCGGCAGCAATGGACGCCGTGGCATTGAATCGCTACGCAAGGAGCTAATGAATCCCTCGGTTGGTGGTCCTGGCGGTGGCATCTCCAGCAGCAGTGCCGGATATCCCTCCTACTCGGCCACCTCCTCCATCGGGCGGATCGATGGCCTAGGACAGGGCATTGGCTCGGCAGATCGCTATGGCGAACAGCTGAGACAGCCCAGCGGCATGGCTGCCATGACAGCGGGTCCGCTGGGAGGAGCCTACTCCACTAGGTTTCCTCCACTCTACGGTGTCGATGACAACCCAAAGCGAATGTATCCGCGCAAGAATTCCATCAGCGAGCTGTATAAGCTAAAGACACGGCTTAACCAGGCGGATGAGCCTGCTGGTGGTGTGACGCACGGCAACTTCGACGGCGATGCCCAGGGAGCTTCGGCCTCAGCGGACCCTTTGCAGGAGATCAAGGACAGGATAAGGGATACGTCTCCGAATGCGGTGAGTCTGGTTTTAAGTCGATAAAATATCTGACAATGTATCCTCTTAACATTATTAATTGAACACTTTCTACCCTTTAGAACACCTACGCTCCTCTCACGGATGCCACGCCCTCGTCGGAATACGAGTACGAACTGGGCGTTAAGTGCAACTTCGAATCGCCGTGCAGCTGGACCTGGGATGAGTATCCCGATGGCTTCCAGGTGATCAGTGGCACAGAGCTGGCCAAGCGGAATCTCACTGGACTGCTGCCAGGGCCCGTGGCGGATAGTATTGACGATGCCACTGGACACTTTCTGTATGCCCGAGTCCAGCCCAACTCCCGGCCCCTGAATCTCACCTCCCCGGAGTTTAGCACAACCATAGAAAAGTGCTACCTGGAGGTGTATATGCATCAGAGCGACATGAGCCATGGACTGTCCAGGGTAGTGGTGGAACCACTGCACACACAGGAGAGCAGCTGGGTGCCGGCAGAGATTCAAGGTGACAATGTGCGTCAGTGGACAAGAAAGGTGTATCGCCTGGGACGTGTTTCCCGGGATTTTCGTATTGTTTTTGAGATTGTTCCTGATCTGCGGCCCGGGCAGAAGGGACACGTGGCCCTGGATAATCTCCGCATGGTGAACTGTTTCCCCGAGGGCACCAAGTCGGAGAAGTGCAGCACCTCCCAGGTCAAGTGCACCTCCAACAAGGTGCCCGTGTGCATACGCCTGCCGCGCATTTGCGACATCACCAAGGACTGTGACGAGGCGGAGGATGAGCAGCAGTCATGCGGTAAGTAACAGATATTTTTTTTTTTAAGAATATCTTATAAATAAATAATATACCTTTCTTCAGACAAAATCCCCTATGGCGGTCGCTGTGACTTCGAGGAGGACTGGTGCGGCTGGCGTGACTCTGGCAAGACAGTGCTCACCTGGTCCCGGCACACGGGCTCCTCACCCACCCACGACACTGGCCCGGATGGCGATCACACCATGCAGCATCTCTTGAACAACACCAGTGGCTACTACATGCTGGTCAACATGAACCAGCACATGAACAACTCCGAAAAGAACTCGAACATAGGCTTTGCCAGCAATGCCGTTATGGTGAGCAAGACCTTCAATCCACCGCCCTCGGTCCATGGAAATCCGGACTCGCCCTATCGAAACTCCTGCGTGGTGAGATTCTTCTTCCATCAATTCGGCAAGAATCCGGGCAGCATCAATCTCTCTGTGGTGGAGATGAAGGAGAAGGAGAATATTACCACCACACTTTGGTGGAGCACCAAAAACCAAGGCAGCGATTGGATGAGAGCGGATTACGTTCTGCCCAACATAACGTCCAAGTAAGTTTAAGATTATAATATTTCTTTTAGATATATGCTAATCTTTTGTAACCCTCAGATACTATCTACAATTTGAGGCTCGAATGGGCATGAGAATCTACTCGGATGTGGCTGTGGATGATTTCTCGCTGAGTCCCGAATGCTTTGGCCTTAATATACCGGAGGATCATCTTGGTGGCTACAACTATTGGGATGTCAGGCAGAATCTTAAGAGTCCCACGTACAAAGATTTTGAATATACAAATTGTAAGTTTAAGATTATATTACGTATACGCCATGGGTTACCTAATGAAAATCTATTCCTTAATCAGATCTTGAGCTAACCAGCTGCGACACTCGAGGCATGATAGGACCCACGCAGGCTCAGTGTGAAGCTGCCTACAAGGAGCAGAATAAAACCCATGTCCTGCGGGAAGTTCATGTGGTGGAAGACCAGAGCAGCTACAAGGGCATGCAGAAGTGGAAGGTGCCCAACGAGGGTCACTACACGTGAGTTCATCTATTGTAAATCCTCATATCTTACTTATAATGCCTTTTATTTTCAATCAGAATCATCGCCAAGGGTGCCAGCGGAGGACTGGGCTCCGGCGGCGTTGGCAGCTCGCGAGGATCAGTGGCCGTGGCCATTCTGGAGCTCCATAAGCACGAGGAACTTTACTTCCTGGTGGGACAGCAGGGCGAGAATGCCTGCATTAAGTCCATGGGTGTGCTCAAGGAAGCCGGTTGTGGCAACGATCATGATCTCGATTTGGGCCAATACAGCTTCCGGTCCAAGCAGGATATGGTGAAGAATATCTATATCGAAAATGGTGCCGGCGGCGGAGGCGGTGGATCCTATGTCTTCCTGCTGAATCAAGCCAAGAATGAAGCTGTACCTCTCCTTGTGGCTGGTGGCGGTGGAGGCTTGGGCATTGGTCAGTACATAGACGAGGACTTCCAGCATGGCCAGAAGGTGAAACCTTTGCAGGCTCCAGAAAGTGGCCAAATCAATGGGGAACCGCTGAACAAAAAGACTGCCGGACCCGGCGGCGGATGGAGAGCCAAGGAGGATCAGGCCTTGAGTCCCACCTATGGAGCTGCCCTGCTCCAGGGCGGTCGTGGTGGTCACTCGTGCTATGTTGAGCTGGCGGACAATGGAACCTCTGTCCACCGACATGGCCAAGGTGGATTTGGCGGCGGCGGAGGTGGCTGCAATACTGGCGGAGGAGGCGGAGGCTATGCCGGAGGAGATGTCTATCTAACGGAATCCAATGGCGAAGGAGGCAGCTCCTTTATCAGTCCCAGCCGCAGTCTCCGGGAGATAAGCGATGTCCATGCAGGCGCCAGCAGTGGTTCGGGTGCCATCATCATTATACCGGCTATCGAAGGCTGTGGCTGCGACTACAGGTGTGTGGCCCTGGATGAGTTCCGGTCCAAGGTGCGCTGCATCTGTCCGGATGGCTGGATTCTGAAGAGGGATAACCACACCGCTTGCGAGATTCGCGAAGAGGCGGGCAAGTCCTCCTTCCAGTACCTGGTCTCCATCCTAATGATTTCGTTGTGCGTCCTCTTCATCTGCATTGCGGCTCTGATCTTTATGTTGTGTGAGTAGTTTTTATGGCAATATATCAAGATCTTTCAGATATATGTTATTAAAATTTCTTTTCCACAGACAACCGCTACCAAAGGAAGAAGCAATCCAAGAAACGCCACAAGATGCTGGTCGAGCAGGACCTTCAACTTACTCGTCTGCGCAACAACATCGATGACTCCAATCTTAACAACTTCAATCCCAACTATGGCTGCGATGGCATTCTGAATGGACACATAGATGTCAACAGTTTACCCCAAGTGGCACGCGACAGTCTCCAGTTGGTCAAGTGAGTGACCCTGCTTCTTCCACATCCTTTCAAATCCTTTCATTAACATTTTTAATCCATTTCAGTGCCCTGGGCAAAGGCGCCTTTGGTGAGGTCTACATGGCCTTGTATCGCCATCGCGATGGTGATGCCGTGGAAATGGGCGTGGCTGTGAAGACTCTGCGCGAGGATCCTAAGAGAGAAAAAGAGGAGGACTTTCTGAAGGAGGCCGCCATCATGGCCAAGTTCAATCACCCGAATATGGTTCACTTGATTGGCGTCTGCTTCGATCGCCAGCCGTACTATATAGTCCTGGAACTGCTGGCTGGCGGGGATCTGCAAAAATTCCTGCGCGAAAACAGAAACACCCCGGAACGTCCATCTCTGCTGACCATGAAGGATCTGCTCTTCTGCGCCCTGGACGTGGCCAAGGGATGTCGTTACATGGAGAGCAAGCGATTTATTCATCGTGACATCGCCGCCAGGAACTGTCTGCTGAGCAGCAAGGGTCCCGGCCGAGTGGTGAAGATTGCAGACTTTGGCATGTCCCGGGACATCTACAGATCGGACTACTATAGGAAGGGCGGCAAGGCCATGTTGCCCATTAAGTGGATGCCGCCGGAAGCCTTCCTCGATGGCATATTTACGTCCAAGACCGATGTCTGGTCCTTTGGCATTCTCCTGTGGGAAGTCTTCAGTTTGGGCCGTTCGCCATATCCCGGCCAGCACAATACACAGGTGATGGAGCTGGTGGTGCGTGGCGGCCGATTGGGATCGCCCACCGAGTGCCCCGTCTCCATATACAAGGTGATGGCCGATTGCTGGAATCCCACGCCCGAAGACCGGCCCACATTCATCAGTCTGCTGGAGCACCTGACCGCCTGCACCCAGGATCCGAGCATCATGAACGCTCCGCTGCCCAATATCCTGGGACCGACGGCCTCCGAAAGGGATGACACCGTCATCCGGCCGCCCAATGGCGAGGAGTTCTGCCTGGCGGTGCCAGATTATTTGGTGCCCCTGCCACCGGGTGGCCACACCAACCCAGCCATGGCCAGCGGCTCCGGCTACGTGCCAGAGTCGCAGCGCCAACAGATGAGCTCATGCACTCCGCCGGCAGTGACCTCGCCAGCTGCCCCACATCCCCGGCCAGTGGAGAATCCAGCTCCCACCAGCGGCGATTGCTGGGAGACGTCCTTCATTCTGCCCAACGCCAAGACGGAACAACCGTCGGCCGGTGGTAGCAAGGATATACCTCCTCTGGCCTCCGGCGAAGATGCCAAGCTGATTAGCTTGGACACCCCGCAGCCCACGCCAACCACGATCCAGCCGCCCTTATCCTTTGCCTCCCAACTGGACGGCATCACATTGGATCCCTCGACGCTGTCCAAGAGCCTGCCCAATGGGAGTGCCAAGCAGTCGTATGCCAACGTTCAGGTGAAGAACGAAATGGAGGCCAAGGTCAGCAATGGGGGAGTGGTGGCCAATGGAGGAGGACCCGTGATGAACGGCGACATCTCGACGGGATCGACGACGGGCGGTGCAGACTCACCGTTCACCATTCAGGGTTATGCGGAGCGTTACAAGGACAACAACAATCATTCCGAAATCAGTTGTTAGGAGCACAGGGAAAAGTCAGTCCTCGAAAAAATGGGAGTATAGTTCCAAAATCAGGAATAAGTCTGAAATAATCTGGATTTGCTTTAAAGTTTTTATGTTGTTTCAAGATTTTCAAAATCTTGTATTCAGACAATTTGAACCTTAGCTTTTCTTTTAAAAACAAAAAGTAAAGACCCAAAATATTTAGTCTTCTTCAGAGAATTACGTTTTTCTTAAGATTTTAAAAATCAATTTTCAAAAGTCGCAAGCTTCAGGTTTTTTATAAAATAAAAAACTGAAAACAATTTCAAATTTCTATTTTAAATTAAAATCATAATAATTCCATAAATTTCATTAGTTAAAACATACTTATTTATGTTTTTCGAATTATATTCCCAATCGATGGAAGCATTTTTTCTCACAGTGCACACTCTGCAACGCCCGGGAGTCAGTCTTGTTTTTGGGGGCAATCACCATTAGTTTGCGCCTCATCAGCGCATTAAATATATATTTATATATTTATTCTTGAATCTTAAAAAGAGAAAAAACCCAAGAATATGGTTGAAACAAAAACCGAGTGAGAACTTCACAAGAAAAAACCAAATGAAAATTGTATTGTAATTTAAACATCAATTTGTATTGTGTGGACTTGCAAGACAAATGCAAAGTAACACTTAAACTTAGTTGGAATACATAGTTTAAATTTTTACCAGACATTAGTTTTGCAAAAACAAAAACAAAATTAAAAAACGATAAGACATACATTTTTGCGAGAGGTTGTATATATAAATTGTAACTAAGTTTTACACGTACGGTTAATTAAGTTGAACTATTTTAATTTCCTTTTATTTTGTTAGTTACCTTTAGTTAATGTTTTAAGCTGATGACTGAAATGCCAAACAATATTCCTAAAGTAAAAAGAAAAAACATAACAAACAAGAGGGGTCATACGTTAGCTTATTTTTAATACTCAGTCCAGAACCGGGAACCAAGACGCCAACTCAATGCTCTAATGTGTCATTTGAAGTTCACAATAATACCACAAATGTAGTCAAAGGAAAGATAGAGATATGCCAAAGCAGACATACACATGACACACGTTTTTAACATAGGATATTTTTTAATTTAGGGTTCTCAATTCTCTTATTGTTTACTCCAAGCGAAATAAAGAAAATGAAAAAACATATAGTGTAAATAAGAAGCTTCCGTCATAGCGAAATTACGTATATTGTATGTATTTAAATAAGACTATTTAAGCGAAAAAAAACAGAGTAGCAAGTCAGGCGGTAGAAGAGAAACTACAATTTACAGGGTGATTTTTATGAAAATTCAGTTGTATGTTTGAAAAACAGAAATTTAGCATTAATGAAACAAGCGTTGAAGAGTAACGTTCAGCTCGATTTGGGTTGATCACAAAATGTTGTAAAATATATATATACATACATATATACTTTCAGCACACAGCCCTGGCCCCGGCCCTGTATTTGTTCATCATCATTAATGCTCTTTTTTCAGGTGTTGATCGGAAAAATTCGAATTCGAAATTTTGTACATTTAGTTGGAACGTAACAAACAAGCTTTAAATTATATAATTTTTATAAAGATATATTAACGATATACAAGTGAGGCGACAACATTATATATATTTAACCAAGCAGAAAAAGAAAATAAATAAATTATACAAGCAGTAAAATTTGATTACACTGAGGTAATTTATGTATATGTACGAGCATAATTAGGCTTAATCAAAAAGAAAATTGAGTGTGTGTTTAAAACAGCAAATCGAATAAAAAAAAAATTATATACATATTTAGATAATGATACTGAAACATATATAGGAAGGATAACGATAACGTTACGTCTATGTTTTGCTTTATGTACAATTCTACTGTTATATGCGCATACATCTATATACAAGCAAACATATTCTCGTATATAAACATTATTATAATCAACTTATATATCCAATATGTATGTACGACTAAAGCGAAACGTTAATTTAAAATGCTGAATCCGCAGAATACCGAAAAGCGTGTAAATTACATGAACTATATTCACAGATATATATTCAGATGTGCTCTCGCTTTAAGGAGATATTTTTCAAGAGCAAACAAATGTTTTTAAAACCTCTAAGAAAGGTGTCTAAAAGTATGCAGTGATATGCAAATCATTGGAGGCATACTTTTGAGCACAACTTCAAGAGATTTTCATTTAAAAAATTTATTTAAAATCGAGTGATTTTAAATCTTTGTTAAACTGTGTCTAAAAGTATGCAGTGTTGTATTTAAAATTATTCAGAGCATACTTTTAGACACTAGTTTAATTTAAAAAAAAACTCCTAAACACGAGAGCACTTCTGAATATCCACTCCAACTTGTATTTTACAAGCACAGTGGCAGACAGGAAAACCAAACAAAAGATGTACAAAACTAAAACATAATAAATAAAAATCAATTGAGAGAAAATAATAATAAATCTGCTCAGAATCGAATGCTCAATATGTGTATGAACATATTTGAATATATGTATGTTTATCCCAGCATCCGCGGCTTACACTTAGTACTTAATCGAGTCGATAACTTGAACGCATTTTTTTGTTGTATGTGTATCTATTATGGTTGTGCCGAGGCATCTCAAGTAAATGCATTCACACACACACAGACATCTCTAGGAGATCCTTTTCAGCTTAGCGGATTGTCCGAATACATGCATATGTATAAATAAAAGCAGACAGACACACACATACATTTTTGTACCCTGAGAAGACATTACCTTGTGTACCTAACACCCAGAACCTGAAAGAGAAGAGTTACATATGCATATATCCGCAGATCGTTGTTGATTAATTGTTGGCACTGGTTCAGTTACAAGATCTTTGGGTTTTTGATTTGAAAAGGAATCCCACTTCCGACTCAGATCTTTTCGGGATTGTTAAGTTTACGAATCTTTTGACTTTCTATTGCTAAAAGTTTGAAATGTTTGTACTTTATTCACAGTGATAGTTCAGCTTTTGCATATACAAATCGGAGATTAATTTAACAAAAATAGTTCAATTCTTTAACAGTTGGTTTGCTAATAGGGGAACTGAATGTTTTTTTGATGCTCAGAACCAGGTCATGGCATTTAGATCACTGTTGACAACGGCATTAACGATTTCGATTGGAGAACTTCGCAGGCCAATATCAGTAGCTTGATGAACACACTTCATTTCTCAACAATAAAAATTCGCAACGAAATTTAGAAAAGGAAACATAAATTATATATACATACAAATATATATATATAAAGACAAATTTAAGAAATTACAATAGGTATAAAGATCACAAAATAAATGGTATTTTTATATACTACAAAAAAAAATTCCCCCCAAAAAAAAGAGAAAAACAAAAAACAAATCGTGGAAAAAAATGCAAGTTTAGTGCATGCAAACAGGCTTAAACTTAGCTCTAGCTATAAAACATATTAATAAAGTAAAACAAAAATTAATGGTTTTCATTTAAAATCGTAAATTATTTTGTTACATTTAAAAGGTAATGAAAACAAAACAAAAAACTAAATAATAAACAAGAAACAGAAACGCAAAGACTAGAACAACATTTTGTAAGCTGGATTAATTGAGTGATGGATCGGTGGTGGCAAGTTATATATAATACAGCATAAGCAACTAAGGCAAACTACCAACCGACAAGCGCAGAACAAAGTCCATTTAGAAGAGAAGCCACACACTCGAAGGTAACCCAAATATCTGTCATAACTTGCTGAAAAAGAAAATAATTGGCGGCGACACACCCACACATTGTATAATTTTCAACTCGACCTAAGCTATAAAAAAAATACCAGCTAAGAAATGTATAACTGACACTTACCCACTCTTCTCACAGCTCTCAGCCTGCAAGGCTAAGGCTTTCCCCCAAAAAATTTCCACATTCTCCTCGCTTTTCCTTTCCCCCTTCAGTGAGTCGAGGAAGAGTTTTGAATTATCTAAAACATAAGCACATCTTACAAAGCAAAATCGAATAAAAAACGTATAAATATATCTAAATAACATATATATTTGGGAAAATGTGAAGTGGAGAACAATTTTAAAGTTGGTAGCGTGTAAGCGCTGGAAATGCGAATCGACAAAAACTGAGAAACTGAGAAAAATAATAAAAATGAAAATTCATGTGTACAAAAACAAAATTGAAAGTGCTTTTATTTGGGGGGAAAATCGATTAAACAACTAAAATAGCGATTTCATATCATTAAAAAATTGCATCCAAAAGTAGGCTACATTCCTTACCTTTCATCCACCTGTAATTAAAATCACTTTTCCATAACATTTTCTTTATAATTTCTTTTATTAAGTTTCTTTTTTAGATTGAATTATTTTCCTGTTTTTCATCTTCAATTCATTTCCATTCATTTCATTACTAAATTTCAAATTTCTTGTCGGGGGACCAATAAGAACTAAAACGTTTATAGAGCTTACAATTGGTTTTGGTTTTTTTGTATAGTTTTAGCTTCTCGCTTCTCGCTTTGCTTCGAAATATATATTATTATTAGATAGTTTCTTATTTGCTGTTTGTCTAGAGGCTAATTGAACTTTGTTATTTAGGAAAAATAATAAGAAGAACGCTTTTGTATATTTTGTATTATTATTTTGGAAGTGTATTTTATTGATGCACTGCAATTTACAAATCGATTTAGAAATAAAACATAATAAATTCTAGGCATAACATAAGATATTCAATAATTGCACGAAAACGAACCCGAGAACGAGAACTATCCTGGCCGTAACCCGGACCCGGCCAATATTACCTGGCCCATATCGATCAAACGAGACGGGAAGCAAAAGTCCAAAGTGGAGGAAGAGTTTGGTTGATGACCCGATTTTTCCTACTGACTGGATGGAATGTTCTTACTATATGTGTCTTGGTTTCTTCTGTGTGTCTGTGTTCTGTTTTTTTTTCTTTTTCGTTTTGTTTTTGTTTATAATTTATCGCATTTAAATATAAATTTTCATAATCATGATTCTCTAATTGCGTTTGTCTCAAAAAACTTCATTCATAGTTTATTACTTCTTTTTTTGGAAACTCTTTTCTGGCTACGCTTAGATTTAGATTTTTAGGCTGCAAATGCTAAGAAATTATGTTTCTGATGTTTATATATAAATATAATTTTTTTTTTTTTGTTTTTCATTAATTTATTATCATTATTATGGATTTTTTTGTGTAGTTTTTGCTTTTGTTTCGCTTTTTTGTCATATACATATACATAAATTGAATTTTGTATATTTGAATTTTTCGTCTCCTGTCGTATAGAATTCCGCTCCTTCTGCTTGGTTTTTATATAAATTGAAAACTTAATTGTAAATGTAAAAATGTTAAGACTACATTCAATTATAAATAATGTTGGTTTTTGTCTTGTCGTATTATTTATATGCAATGTTCGCTCGTTACGTAATAATATTTATAATTAATATTAATTAATTAGCATAGTTTACGTTACGTTTATGTAATTGTTTAAAGCAATAACAAGCCATTTCATTTAATTTCATTTATTCTCTTTGCTAATCGGTTTTCTTGAATTAATCGTCATATTTGTGGTGTGTGGGTGCGTGGTTTTTTTATAGCATTGGATGTACTAAATCATGCAAATTGCTTCATTCATTACCGCCGAATCCCCGACCATAAATTCACTCTTCTCACACCCCCCCCAACTCTCTATGCAAAAAGGTGGAATTCACTTCCTCTACTTTGGGTTTTTTCTGCGCTTTAATTATTTCACAAAATTTTACAATCTCGCAGAAGGAGAGAGATAGAGAGAGAGAGACAAGTGGAGACAACAACCGACACCAGAGGCCTTTAAATCCCGACCTATATCTTTGCACCTGAATAAGTTAAATGGGTGATGTGTGTGTATGCGCGCCAATGCCATTTAATAGTTACCCCATTTGAGTTTACCACTCGTAATATTTTAATCTGCCATCTAGCGCGATGTTCTTTCTATGGGTTTTTGATGTTTCCGTTTTCTATTCTTTTCCTTTTTTCTTTTTTTTTGTTTTATGTTTTGTGGGTTCTGCTGTTTGTTTACTCAATTTGTAACATAAAAATATGAATATAACTATTTGCTAAAAACCTCTAAAATGTCTTAGAAATCGCAAGGAAGATGATGATGATGAACATCGCAGATCCTGCCAGATTGCAGCGAATAAACATATATATATAATATATATATGTGTGTCTCAGCTTCCACATCGGTCGCCACCTCCTCGTCCGGCTAATTACAAAAAGGGTATCAAGCGTGCCATCTTCAACGCGTTCTCCAAAAAGGCGCTCCACAAGTCATTCAGGCGCTTGGAGCGCGACATTAGGAAACGCCAGGTGAGCAGCACCGCCACCAGTTTGGTCAGCTGATGCAGATAGTAGAGCCTGTGGAGTAATAAAAGGAGTGGGTTAGGTTAAATGGGTTTAAAATCAGTAAGGTTTGAGCAAAGATAATAACAGTATATAAATAAGATGCGTTACGTTTTTTTCACTTGAACTTTTTGGTTTTCAGTTTTTTTAGCGCTTTAATATTTTCCCTACATTTACCATAACTTATATCTCGGAACATTAAGTACAAATGCCTCACCTGAGCATGCGTTTTCTGCTGGCCGGCAGCGAATCGGGCCGCTGCTTGAACAGGAACTCCCTGAAGCCCAGCACATAGCGTTCCACATAGTTGTCCCAGTTGATGTGGCGCACATCGAAAACGAAGATCTCGCGATCCTTGGGACTCAGCGTATGCAGCAGGGCGTGGACATTGTCGTCCTTGAAGCGCCATTGGCGTGTGGCAAAGTACTCTAAGCATTCCACAGCTTTGGCAATTTTATTTTGTACGTTGACAACGCTAAAAAAAAAACAGGGACAAAACATTCCATGTAAAGCTCTGGGGGGAAAAGCGATTATAATTGAAACTTACAATGGCTTCTTGCCCATGATCCTTGCCACTCCGTCCAGAATGTAGGCCGGTAGGAAGTGTTTGACTATACAATTCAGTGTGTTCATGGGGCGGTTCATGCGCAGGTCGCCAGTTGGATACCACAGGCAGCCCTCTGGGAAAATAATATACAATATAGTTCCGGGTAATTATTAAGGTCTCAGACAGGGTGAGGCAGTTTTTTGGTCAAGTGGTCAAAAGTGTTAGGGGCCTGTTTCTCACCCAGGGGATGCTTGCGCACACTGCACATGGCGTGTTTGACAAACTCCGACCAGATGATGGGATTGCGCTGGCCGGTGCAACAATTGTAGATGAGTAGGTTGTTGGACTTGCGGGTCGCTGTGCGCCAGGCGGCGGCAATCATCAGGTTAATCACAATATCGACAGGTACCATATCGGCCACATAGTTCTTCTCGCACATCATCGTACGGAACATGCCCTTGGCCAGCGCCGAGACTAGGCCCGTTGGCCCATTGAAGTTATCCACCCATCCGGCGAATGGCTCATTCAGACTGGCAGTCACTGTGGAAAAAATAATAAAAGAATTCATTGTAACACATTTCTACATTTTTAAAAGAATTTTATAACAATTTTAATTTCTTTTAAAGCTGCCTAAAATGTTTGTTAAAATGTTTTAGGATATTGTAAATCATTTAAGAAACTTTATAAAACATTTACAAGTTGTTGTTGCTTTTAGAGAAACCACTTGAAGTATGGTTAATTATCATTATTTTGTTGATCTACTCTATCCAAGGTAAACTTGATTAATCATAGAATTAAGCAAATGTCGCAGTTCAAACGAAACACAAATGCAAACCAAATTAGAGACTCAAGTGTTTGGAATATTTACGTATAATCGATGAGTTTGTTTATGATGATTATATATGTAGTATGTATATGGCTTACCAATCGATGGCCTCACAATGGCAACGGGCAGATTACCAGCCTCCTTAAGTAACATATGCTCCGCTAAGGCTTTTGTAAATGTGTACGTATTGGGACGCTTGCCAATTAGGCGCGGTGTCAGCTAGAAATAAACATTAATTAATTATAGAAATAACTTGATAATTATATTGAAGAGCTGCTTACCTGATCGAGTATATCCTCCGGAAGCCAGTTGATTAGTGAGATGATATCGTCGGGATTGTAGGGCGGTGCATAAATAACCTCAGACACATCGGTTCTATCGCAATTGCAATAGGCAGTGGATACATGGATTAGTGCCTATAAAATGTAAAACCAATTTTGGGTTAATTTCTTGGATCATCCTGACATTATATTTATATCGAAAACTTACGTCCAGTGACAGCATGCGATGGCAGAGCTCGACGAGACGTTTCGTGCCCAGCATATTGATTGTGACAGACAGTTTGAGCTTCTCATCGAATTTCACAGTGGCAGCCGAATGAAAGACAACGGAAACATTGCGACACAGTAGGTTCTAAAAAATAGTAAACCTTTCTAGATTAAATATCAACCTTAAAGAAATGGTAAATAAATAAAGACCTCACCTGATCTTTTTCTGAAATTCCCAGTTCCTCGGAAGTTATGTCGCCCGAAATGGGTATGACTTTGCTGAGCTCCTTGGGCTTCTCCTGCCGCAGTGATTCAAAGAGCTGAAGAATAATAATTGAAAATATTACTATTTTATATATTTTATTATAAATATCAACTTACTGGTGCATTTAGTAGTTCCGTGAGACGTGCCGACACTTCTTGTCCGCGTTTCGGTCGTATCAGTAGATATATATTCCTTATGTCCGGACATGAGCGCAGCAACTTCTCCACCAGCACCTGCAAATCGAATTGTAATTAGTGACTCAATCATGGAATATGGCCATTAACCAAATAAACAATTATTGTTACACCCACAGGGACACAAGGACACACTTGACCCACTTCGATGGTGTCTGCGGTTAGTCTTGATCTGACTTCAGTTCTATAGTATATATAGGGGAGGGGTTGGGACACGCCCCGAAAACGATGTGAGAATTGTAGCGGAATTAAACGACAACAGCCCACAGCAGACAAAAAGGGGTAGGTGGTGGTCGGTGGGCGGTCTGTGGGGGGTTAACTGCTTGGCATTTCAAGAGGGTGGAGAGTGTGGTGGGCGTAGGGCGTACGACTGCGGGCAGTGGGCGTGCCAGGCGCACAAAATCGATGAATAACACACAGTACTACTGTGAGCTCAGAGTCTGGGCGGCGCCACTGCGATTTCATGTCATAATGACGCAGTCAGGAGCCACCGACATGCAATATGCACAGAGAATAATTTAGGGGAAACTTAAGTTTTGAAATAAACAAAAAGAGAATGGTATACCAAAATTTAAATTACTTAAAGAAAAGTTAGAAATAAATTCTTAAATTTATTTTGCTTTTAGGAAGTACTTAGAAAAATTACCTAATTATTTATTTATTATATAAAAAACTAAAGCATTTCTTTTTCTCCTTGTATTCCTATATATGTTTAACAATGGCTGGGACGAAAATTGGCACAACAGCCGGAGGATGTATTTGGAGCAGGGGAACGAGTGCTTGCCCCCATTACTTGGGGAACAATTAAGTGGAACTCGGAGTGGGAGAACGAGCAACCAAAAGCCAAATGCATAAACGCAGCCACAATACTAGTACCATAAACAAACATACATACACACATATATGTAGCATTATTATGAAGTATTCGCATGGCAGGCGACGATGAGTCAACATCGTCTGGTGCAGCGACTCAACTCAAGCATTTCGGCTTAGAAAAAAGCAAACCAAACTAAGTCAAGCATACACGCACATCGCTCATAAACAGCTTGCTCGCACACAGTGCATCTAAAATTCAGGGGAAAGCGGGGGGAAACCACCTCCTCCAAACCAACCACCAAGCAATCACTTCATTGCCGCGAGACTTGTTGTTTTGTTTTTGTTTATCGGCAACACACACACAAATATTTGTGTGCATATTTTATGACTGGAAACGCTTCGAGTTCTCTCAATCGAGCCCAGCCAGGCCAGCAACGGGTTCAATAGTTCAGAGTTCGGAGCCAATAAACACACGCGGCGTATGCGTGACGTGAATGCAAGAAGCTCGGCCGGCAGCCCGCAAAAGTATGCAATAAAAGTTGGAGCACGCATTTTCGATTGAAAAAAAAGGATAATACGAGTGAATAAAGGGTTTAGGCTATCCTCTTTGGGTCGTTTTGTTGTCAACAATATTAGCAGTGAATGGTAATTCTGATTCTATACAAAATTGGCTTTTGTTAAGGGCTAATAAAAAGATTTCCCAAAGGTTTCCTACGCGACACTTTAGTAAATAATCTTAAATAAATTTCGTTAACAAAACTCACCTTTCCCATAAAACCAGTGCCGCCTGTGATGAAAACGCTGCGTCCCGCGTAAAATTGGGCGATGGGCACATAGCTGGTGTCTTCCGCCCGAAAGCGTTCGTAGGGCAACTGGAGGCCATTGCTGCTGGGTGGCAGGGGCAGTGCCGTCGAGGGCGTCACAGCGGACAGGAGGCTCGAGACGGCCGCGGCCGAGGATGAAGCTAAGGATGAGTTGGCGCCGCCGGAACCGGAAACGGAGCCCGATCCTGCTGCACTCGAACCGTTGTAGCCGGAGGAGGCGTTGTTGCTGGCTGACGTTGAGGATGATGCGCTGGAGCTGGCGGCATGGGTTAAGCCGTTGGTTCGGGCCAAACTGCCGTTGAGTAGCTTGGCGGCATCGTGACTGTTTGCGGGCTGAGGGGGCGACTGTTTGAGGCTGCTGTTTGTGGCTGCTTCCGTTTCCGCTTTGTTGGCGACCGCGTTTGACATGTTCGATTGTTTCTTGCTCTGCCGGTCCTCGTTGGTTAAATTTGTGTTTGTGTTGTGTTGAGTGTGTGTGTGTGAATCGTATTTATCCTTCTTAAGTTTTAGGCTAGGAAGCAGTTCTTTCTGTCATTTGCAGTGTGCGCTTGAGTTATCCTTCTCCTTTTGTTTTTCGTCTTTAATATTCAATATTTACTTTTGGTTTCTGTTTGGAAGTGCTGCTTGCTCTAGTTTGCCCTAGTTGGAAGCGTATGAATTGTTCATATAAACTTATATGGAATAGCTAGCTGGAAGTCGTTCTGTCGCCGCTGAGCGTTTATCCATGTTTCCATGAGTCGCGCTTGTCCAGGAGGTTGCCTTGGCTTTTCAGGTTCTTCTATGTTCTTTGTTATATTTTATTGTACAAAAGGAGTTCAGCAGGAGAGTGTTAGTCTTCCTCAGGTGTATCCTGTGGGTTGGGTGGGGGGTTGTTGAACGTGACCGATTTACGACAACTTCCAAGCGTTATTGCTCTGCTGACCTGCAATGCAAATAAAAATAGAAAACAATAATTAGCATCGTCTGAAAGTTCTTGAAAGTTGTGAATTTGAAAGAGGCAATTAGGAGGCATTTATTGCATTTTTTCTAAACAGTTTTGTGTTTATAGTTTGTTTATATTGAATTCACAGAAACATCTGCCCTTTAAAAATTTAATTCTGAACAAATTATTCCGGAAGCATATAAATATTACAAACTCAATCAAACAATTAAATAAATACCGACATAGATTAAAGTTCTCCAATATTTAAAATAAATTATAACTGGATTACTTTTTTATTTCAATTTCTTTTTCATGTATTACGTTATTTTCCACTTGCAATCCTTTGCATCCTTCATTAACCCACACCATACATTAGGAATGATAGCAACTCCTCCTCAAAATAAAACAGACCTCAATTACCCGAGGACAACGCAATTGTGTCAAGCCTAATTATCCCACCAAGCCCAAATCAAAGTCCGCTTATCCATTCAATATCCCATATATATCCTTCCACCCAATCGAATCTATCCATCCTTCCATCCATCTATCTATCAAAATGTCATTTATCCTTGGGACCGGCGTCTAAAATTAGCAACCCTTTCCGAGCCACAGCTGAGTGGCAACCCAAATCCGAGCTATGACGTCTAACAGCTTTGGCAATCGGCCATCACGGAAAAGGATATGCAAATGACGTCGAAGGATATGAAATCTATGCAAAGAACACCACCACACATCGCACACTTGAGTCTTCCAAATAGTTTTCGACCGGCCGCAATCGAATTTAACGCACAATAGAGCTAAATATGCAAAGGCAGCTTAATGCCTTAATCGGCTTACAAGGCGAGTGCTGAGAGCCCGGCTCTGAGAACTGCAGAACGGCAAGCCGAGAACAGAGAACCGAGAACCGAGAACCGAGAATCGAGAACCGCGAAGCGAGAACTGAAGACCCGAGAACGCAATAGATACTTGGTACAAAACCAACCGGGGAGACGATACTGTCGATAGCAGTGACAGTTGGCGAATGCTCACTATCCGCCTGGGAACACTTCATTCTATATTAAACGATTTTTACATGAGCCCGAGCTGAGCTGCGCTGAGCCGAGAGATTTCCAGCGCTATATGGCGACCCGCATGATCAAGTGCCACTTAAGAGGGTCTCACACGTCATAAATCTCCACAAGTCCAAAGTTTTAGTGCCCTTCGTAACTGCCCCCCCAAAAATTCAAACGATCATCAGAAGGAGATTAATGCGAGCCGGGGGCTAATTGATCGAGGTGGCAGTGTTAGGTGCTAGAATGCTATTGTTTAATTGCCGTCTAGGAAATACATTATATATTGCTCAATCAGCATCCGAATCGGAATTATAATCGCTAGGCAACCTTCGCCAGCAGGAGGTTAGAGAGCGCACTTAGCCAGTTCAAATAAACGCGTCGATAGACGTACATACATAGTTTCCTGGGTCTGTGTAGGGTTGTAAAGAACCCTAATGAATTTGTCAACAAGCGTTGGTAACAAGTGAAACAACAGGGCTAGCTAAAAGGAAAAATGTCGGATAAACAATAAATCGTATTTGTTCCTCCGCAAAATCGCGTTTGGGGGAAAGGGTTTGGGCTTAAACTTCGAACCCTTGCATCAGTTAGCACCTACCCATATCTCATCTGTAATTCACCGAATGCGAATGCTAATTGAATTTCAAATTGTTTATTGATCATTTGGTCCATTGAACATTGGACATTGATCGTAACCAGGAACTATGGGAGTTGTGTGGACAATGATATTGGCTAGATTGATTGGCAGATGCGATATACTTATGGGTGTGACGTCAAGCCCAGGTGACGCTCATCATAATGATCACAGATATAATCATAATAATATTGATGATGGTGTGGTGTTGTCTCTAAGTCGAATTTTTGGAAGTTCAAGCTGCTGCCCATGACTTTCACTTTTTATTTTTCGAATCTTTTGTAGGTCTTTGGTTTTTTTTCGGCTTTTTTAAATATCTAAATTCCGCAATATTTTTTTCCACCCGTTTGCATGTATTTAAAATTTGTTGTTTATTTTTTTTTTTGTCAAACTTTCGTTTTCAATTTTTTAGTTTGTACAAAAATCTATCGCTGGCACTATGGCTTTTTTTTTTTTTTTTTGGTAATTTGCATTCGAGGTTCGAGGGTTTCTTTTAGTGACTTGGCTAAATAAGATTTCGATGCTCGCCGTGTTAAGAAATTTGGCACACTTCGGCAGTGCGTGTGGCGATGTTATCAAATCGCTGGGCAATATCCGCTGAACTAGTTGGGGCCGACTCTATATAATTAAAGTTTAAACAACTCTCGAGACGCGGCGGCAATCAGAGCGGCCTCATCACGTAACTGTAAATTTATCAATGAAGACCTGGCCAACTTCGTTTACTGGTTGTGTGTTGTTCCCTCTTCATTCTAAAGTGAAATTTCTTGAAAATCAACTTTTTCTCAACCCATCCCTGTCTCTCATTCTATCTTTGTTTCTCTTTCTCTCCATCGCTCTTGGGTTTACTCTTTTTTTTTCCTGGTTGGTTTCCTACTGCAACGAAAAATTTGCGCGCGCCAGCTTCAAGAGGCAAATGAACCGACATCGAACCATCATCATTGAAGCCACGCCTCATCTCGGCTTTTCGGAGGAGCGTGTTAACCAAACATGAAGACCGAAATGCTGTTAAACGGTAAACATTCAGCATTCAACATTCAACATTCAACCTGCCTTGACAAGGTAGTTACACACCAGCAGTCTCTGCTGGTCGCTGCCCGTGTATTGTCTGACCCATTTCCTATAATCGTGCCGCATTATCATCATCAAACTCATCATCATCATCAGCGGCAACCTCAACCTCGTCATCATCGGCTTCATTATCATTATCATTATTGTCTTCGTCATCGTCATCAGCATTCGACAACTGGCCAAGTCGCCTTGCCTTGCCGGACATTTGGAAGCGACCGCTTTACCAATTTTACATATACCCTAGAGCCGGCAAAGGGATGGGTAGCCCAGACAATGGGTAATTGAGAAGACTCAATTGGCAAAAGCTAAATTATATAATCTAAATAATACTTAATATATCTAAAGACTACTTTAAATTTGTAAAGAAAGAAAAGTACAAGTATCTGCTAATAAATGGCTTGAATGTTAAAGCTCCTAACTATTTGTAAACAAAGAATTAGCAAACCCTTCGAATCTGTATAAATACTGGCAGCTAATTTGCTTAGCAAGTTTGTAATGTCTACAAGTGGAATATACAAAACTGTCGCCTTAAATCATTTAAAAATTGCTATACCATTATATGTATATCATATTATAGTTATAATTTGCCCTTCCAGAGTATTTCTTGTTTCGACCACATCAACTGCCTTACTTTTTCCCATGGCTGGAAGACCTGTCTTTAAGCGCATTTCTTCTTTGCGCTTTTCTACACTGTCTCCTCTCTTTGGGCCCTGCCGTTTCCTCATTTGGAGCTTGTTGCTTTCGGATTACAAGTCTTTAGCACTCAGGGCCTCGACACATAAACATATATACGCGACACACAACAGTGCATAACATACTTCCGCATGCAGACATTACAGGCAGGGCAGTATAGATATATATCGCTAAAAGCGAGCTATAGCTGTGCGATTCTGATGGGTATTGGATCTGGTGAATACGATGTCAACCTATTTGTTTTGGCAATGTGGAAGCTCGTTTCATTTCGGTCGAATCCGTTTCTTTCGCTTCGAAGTTCGAACACAAACGAAAGTTCAAATATGCATTTTCACTTTTCAACAATGGATGGCCTCTCATTATGTAAACCCGTAGAGCCCGAGAGCTCTACGGCGGATGCTGTGCTTATACTACATATGGTGCCATGTGTGCCTGTGTGTGTTTTGGTTGGTGTTTATGAGTGCCCATAATGGGTCTGTGCCCTCTATTCTATTGAACCTTTGAGTGGAGGCTCTGGAATTGCCGTACGCTGTTGGTGGGTTGCTGCTGTTGCTGTTGCTGCTGCTGATGTTGTGATGTCGTCGGGATGTCGCCATGTCGCCATGTCGACTATGTCTGCTCTTGTAGTTATCGTAAGCTATCTATGCTTTGTGTGTAATTGAATAAATCTGTAGGGGGTTGTGGTGGATAGAATGGATCTCGGATCTCGGATCTGTCTCCCTCCTGCCCACTGCCCACTGCCTGCTGCCCACTACTGCCCATAATTTGTGTGGCTTGATTAACAAACAAAAGCGCTTTCGCAGTTTACAGCATAAAAGTTAAATTTAACTGTGTATAATGGGGGCTGCTGGCTCCTGCTCCCCCTGACCGGCCCCTCACCTGAAAGGCCCCCATTCGAAGGTAGTCAGCAGATTAGCTACCCAATTTAAAAGCTCAGCTGAGTCGAGTTAAGCCTCCGTCCCGCTCGCGCCCTCACGCGCTCACACTCACTAGATATTAAATAATTCACAATTATAATATACATACAACTTGTCGTCATATTTTTAGGCTTTTATCACATGAGCTAAGACCAAATGTCTACGGGCCCAATTAAAGCATTCTTTTGGTCCGTAGTCCGCCTCCTGTGCAATTAAAAGCACTTTCTCGGCTAATTTGAATAATCAAAAACAATTTGGACTTTGCAATTATAAGATGAAGATTTATTGTCGACGAGACCTTAAGATGAACCTCTTTTTTATCTCATAAACTAAGGACAGTGATATGGGGTTCATTCTGAAAGATTTATGAAGATTTTTGCGGGTTCAAGTTCAGTTGAGATAAGCCACTCAGGAAGGTAATGAAAAGGGTTGATAGGTGTCAAAAGCAGGCATAATAAAAGTTTATTGTAACAAAAACAGAATATATAGGTTAAAGGTTTTTTAACTTTTTACTTTTTATGATCTTCTTTTTATATTTTTCTTAAAATAATGACAAATCAGCTAATACTGGCTTTATTTACTCTTCCAAAAATCTTAGTAAAATACTAAATACCAAGAAAGGCAAATATGACGGGTAAACAAAAGATTTCAATGACTGTTTATAGCGTTTTAAAGCCAGCACTATTTACACTCGCCATATGGTATATCTTTTAAAGTTTCCTATTGCTAAATACCTATGGATTGTATCTCATCCCCAGAATTTTCGCTTTACGTCACAGACCGCAAAAGTGTATGTGTGCCCAATAGGCAATCGATCTGAATGCCAAGTGGCTGGCTTAATGGCTTCGTAACCCATTTTGAGTAGGACCATTAGCCCCGTGGGCCAAGTAGTAGAATCAATCTAGCCCAGAGTTGCGAAAGTGAAAAAGAAATTCGATGGTTGGCATTGCTCAGGCAGTCGGAGCACGTAATCAATAGAAATATGTCGCCGCCTCGAGATACCTCTATAGCACAGATACCAAACCGATATACCAATACTATATGCGATACGTATCGGGCATTATTGACTGTGGCAATTATTTTCGGCTGAGCTCAGCTCGACGGGCTGCCGATGCATTTGCGCATGCGTCCACTCATTTCGTTCCATTCCACACTCCACTCCCAGCCAAAAATGTGGGTCAAGTCAACGTGGGTTCGCAATTATGACACATTGTCCGAGCGACAGATATTTACCCCACAAAGGCAGAAATCGGTGTAATGATATTTGTAAATGTAAAAATTAAATAAACAATCGGACGGACGCTGCTTTTTGGAGGGTTTTTCGGTAATTCGGTTTTTTTGAATTACGGGTTTTTCGTTTTTCGTGTTATTTCTTTTTTTTTTTTGCAATGTGAGATGTGTAGTATCTTTGTATCTGTTAATGTGTGTGTGTGGATGGCCATGATCCATGTTTATTTATTATGCTCCATCGTCTTTTCGCTGTCGTTATCGTTTTCATTTTCGTTTTCGTTGTCGCTAGTCGTTGTCTCGTCTGTGTGCAAATTTTATTTGTAAATATGCAATGATTAATATTACAAATATACAGCAACAAAAATTTCGAAAATATTTGTTGCCTTTTAAAACTTTCTCGCGGCAACACAACCTGGATATGGATATTGGCTACAGTCCGGCTTCTCTAAATATGTCAACCGTAATGATTCGTTGAAATCTTTCAAATTAGCAGATAATTCCCAACTGGTTATGCCAGTAAACTTGAACTAACTGGCCTACCATCTTCTAGGTTAATGAAATCCCTAATAAAATACCTTGTAAATATTATGAAAAACAAATAAATGTTGCTAAATTAAATTCAATGTTATCGAAGCTCCACTGTGGCATAAGCTGCGGGTCAAATATTAGCTAAAAACGGAATTGCATAACCCGACGACGAAAAAAGAAACAGCTCAAATATTTGTGGGCCAGGCCTGGCTTGCACTTACTTGTCAGACAAACATATAGCCCAATATATTGGCTTTAATCGACGAAGACGATCTGAAGATGCTGCAGCAGCTCGCGTTTCGATTGAACTGACTGGATTTGTGAATCGAATTTCCCCCGCTTCTTTTTCCGAGGAACACCGAATCTAGGTCATTGACATAAAAGGGGGACTTGCAAATAATTCGTTTGTTGTGGTCTCCGGTTCCCGTTTTTTATATTATTTATTTTTTTCTGAACTTTTGCACTTGCGGGGTTTTCGAGGTCGTTCGTTCGGTTGGAAAAAAACTGATTCGACAAAAAACGATTTCGGAAAACGATTCTCGTTGACAATTATGCAGAGATTATTTATTTTCAATTTGACACTATAGGCAAGGCAAGGTACAATACGGATGAGCCGATACCGATACTGAGATACTGATACTGATAGCCACTCCTGACACACTAAAAAACTCCAGTCTGAAATTCTTCTGCTGCTTCTTCTTCTTGTTTCTTCTTCTTCTTGGACCCCCAAGAAATTTCTCCAAATATTTTCACTTTTGCGACAGCGCGAGAGAGACAGGTGAGAGAGCGCGCGAAGAGAGCGAAGACCGTTGCGCAGGCGCAAAGAAATCGAACCGACTGCGACGGCGGAAGAAGAGAGACAGAGGGCGGTCGCGGGAGAGAGTTGACCGTTCTTCTTGCCCTTTTTTAACTGCTTTTTAAGTGATCTTTTAGCGTCGCGTCCGCTTCGTCGGCCGTTTGGAATTGAACTAAACACTAAACTTGGCCGCCGAAGAAGTGAAAGATTTATGCAGTCGGCGTCAAAGCTGCGCTGCCAAGAAAGGCGCACAAAAGAAAGCAGCGCAAAGAGAGAGCGGCTCGGACACGTAAACCGATGGCGATCGGACGCCACATGAGAGATGGGGCGAGAGAGCGTGGAGAGCAAAGCCTGGGGAGAGCATGCAACAAGCTTTAATTGAAAAAGCCGCAAAAGAACGGTGTGTGTGTGTGGAAAAACAAGTCGTGGAAAACGGAATGACGAAGGAGAAGATTCAAAGGGGGGGGCGGAGGAAATTCGATATGTGGTCAGCAGGCACTGACATTGACCACGACGCTGGCAGAGACGCCGGCAGAGGCAAAAGAGGTCAAAGTACACACATAAGCTTCCCGAGTCGGGTATCGGGTGTCTCTTTCTTTCCCTCTTTCTCCCTCTCACGCTACTTGCGTGCGTGTGGATGCATAATCTTGCACTTGCCACCAGGTAACTGGCAACGCGTAAATTGACCAAAAAAAAAAAAAGACTTTCGTGTCTAATTGAAAGGCAAGTCACACTTGCGGTTAAGCAAGGGGGCGGGGTATGAAGAGCGGGGCTAAGTGAAAAGGGGGCGGGAGAGGTGATTAATTCACCACAGTTAGCTGTAAGAACTAATTGAGTGCACTGGAAAAAATTAACAAACTAAAATATAAGCTGTTTAATAATCCGACAAATATATTTTAAAATTTTTTTGTTTTTGATTGTACACAAAAAAACACCTATTCGGGAATTATAATTTAAGGCAGAGTGAAGGAGGTATTTCAGACCCTTTTGATTATATACTATATTTTTGATCGATTTTATATAATAAAGTAAGAATGATATTACAGCCTGAAAGTGTGTATTAGCATGAAAGTTGTCTAGGTGCACATAAGGTAATTAATGTATGTACATACAAACTATACTAGTGTGACGTTATTAATGATACTCATAAGTCTGAAATGTTATCTGGCTTACATATTTTATTCACCTTATAAATATTCAATGATGATTCCTGATATATTCAAATCTTTCTATTATAAAGCTGCACGATTCCTCTGACCTATGGTACCATAGAAATATTATTCGAACTATAGGTGCAATAACAGATAGAACAGTATCTCGGTATAAGCATATGCCAGTATCTATGGTATACCATAGGTCAGCTAATCATGCAGCATTACACGTGCATTCCTATTCAAATTTATATGGAAATGAAACTGTTGTTTAAATATAGTACTGAAATTTGCATTGACGTATGTACCTTAAGTTTTTTCACAGTCAACTTAGCACTTAACCAAACGACAACAGAAGCCAGTTGAACATTGAGTTAGTTCAAGACTCTTAAAAAAAAGGGCAGTTGAACAAATAAATGAGCAATGAATCATCACTTTGTGAGATAAATATTTAAGAAATCGGTCAATGAAACAATAATTATTTTTAAGAAAATATTCCCAATTTAAACTAAATATAGGTTTTTAAATAAGCTCTTAATAACTATGCATATCTTTACATATCTTTTAAATATTTGTGAACATCTTGCTACAATTTTTTTGCACTGTGCACAATGAAGGGCTCAGCAACGGGCACATGGCGATTCTCCAATAGTTGACGGCGGGTGTGTTCCGTTGATCTTTCTGCCACGTGCCCCCGAAATCCTACTAATAGTTTCAGTCAATATTTGAGTTTTTAATTGATTTTGCATACACTACTTCTCACATTCCCACCCAAAATAGGCAAACGGAAAGCGGAAACTGCCGGCCAGATCGAAGAGTTAGCCAAGCGTAAGCTTAAGCGGAAAAAAACTAGAAGCAGAGCCACCGCAAAAGTTTCTTGCCAAAAAACCGTAGAATTTATTCTGGGGAAAAATAATGCTTGAAAGGGGGAAATAGAAGTGTGGGAATCTAAGCAGAGGCTGACAGAGAAACCCATTTGCCTACTTTTAGGCTGAGCAAATAAATTCCAATCTGACCGGAAATGAAGCAGCATAAAACAAAAGTTTTCCTTTCCTCAATGGCAGGCAATATTCACATTAAATGGAATGGAACTGAACGGCTGTAGTTTGCCGTAACTCGAACCTATATTTTTCTCGAAAATACCATTCAACTTTGAGGTCCTTCCATTGCCGTTAAAGCTGTTTCGAAAATTGTTGTTATTAAAGGGTTCAGGTTTCCTATAGTTTTTCCGAATTTCTTTGTTATTTCTATAGATTACAAATAATACTTTATTTGTCTTGAAGGAGATTCACTTTCCCTATGATATCTTTTGATTTTAGGATATTTTTTACAAGCAGGGACAAACTTTCCTTTGTCACTACCACTCAAGTGTCACACTTTGGGACTTAATATATACACCCACCCACCCTAATATCCGTCACATTTTCCACCCACAGCTTTGCTCATTTTTATTTTTTTTAATTACACAAAGTTACGGCATTAGATGGCGCCCTGTTGACAGGACCTTCTCCCTGGCTCGTCCTCGAGCCCGTTGCCGTCCCCTCGTCCCTTTTTATTTTCCCATTTTCTCGGCTGTGAAATGGCAAACACTCACACACATGGTCACAATGGGAAATCGACGGGGTGGTGGGGGCTCTCGGGTGGTTTAAGGTAGACAACAAAACGGGGAAAATGACATAATGCACTTGAAATGTTATCGCCTCGCTGTCGAGTGCAACAAATACACTGGCACACACAAAGGCACACACACTCGCACACACTGATCGGATGGAAAATCTTCGATTATATCGAATTACCATTAATGAGAAGCAATTAACCATGGCCAGGTTGTCAGCCTGCCCATTCATCTTGAAACATACTTTCGGGCATCCCGGGTATCGCCACTTGCGGCCCCCCCTTGTGAATCTTTCCTAAAGTTTTCCGGGCGCGTTGCCACACACTACTCACACATCGTATAGTATTTTCTATTTTTTTTTTTTTTTTGTTTGTCGTTTCAGCTCAGTTGGCGGAACTTCCCCAGCCCTTTTCACGCATTTTCGCAAACATTTTCACCGTTCATCGAATTTAGCGAATTTAAGGGAATTTTTCTTAAATTTGTTTAGTTTTTTGTTGGAGCAAACTTTTGAAGTCGCGTCTCGACCGCCTTGAAAATCAATTGGAAAATGCCTGGCCTGTGTTTCATTTCATTTTCTTTTCTCCTCCCAAGCTCCCCGAGATTATTTCACGCGCCTGCTCTCGTTTCGCGAGAGATACAATATTGGAGAAGTGGAGAGAAATCAAAAGAGAGACTCAGAGCCTGCTAGCTGGCTCGCTCTTTCGTTGCCATTTTCTGCTACTACTATTTTCCTGGGCGTCTGCCGGCTTTTCCTGGGGGGTTGTTGGCTATTGCCAGCTTATATTATATAATGTGCCCAACCAGCTGACTCAACAACTCTGTCAGACCGATGGATGTATCAGATAAGATAGCTTCCTATCTATGGGGTTTTATCGATCTAATATTAATATGGTCTGTACATTTATGGCGGCTGCTTATTTAACTAATTTTCTAGGGAAATTCATAATTATATGGAGCATAATTTTAGGCTGACACTGCTACTCTCTCCCACACTGCCTCTCTTACTCGGTTAAATGATGGATTCTCTTTGCATTTTCCGCTTAAAGCTCGGCTTGCTCTCTCTTTGGCGGAAACATAAAACGGAAATGTCAGATTTTCTGCTAAATTTTTTACAACCATCGACGCCAAAAAGCAGCGACATTCTCCGGATGAGATAATAAACCCAGCGACATACATTTTTTTTATGGGCAACGTGTGCGCGCGGGGGGGGTGTTAAGTTGGGCACAGGGGCTGCTTCTAACAGGGGGCTAAAAATAAATGCCAAACGAGAAAAAGAAAAACAAGGAAAAACATGCTCAAACTAGGCAAACAAAATTATGCTAAAAATATGCTTAAAATCGGCTAAAAATTATGCCAAAAATAAAGGCAGACAATTGAGTGGTAAAGAGGGGCCTTTTCCTGTTCGCTTTTCTTTTTCATTTTGGTTTTCTTTTCTTTTTCCTTTTTTTTTAAGGGCGTGTACGTACCGGCTCCAAAACGAAAGTGAGGTTAGAAACGCGTGTGGATGCTGCGGCGATTTGGAACTGAACTGGATTTCCGGAGCTCCTCGATTTTCTTTCTCTTTATCCTGGTTGTTGGCCCAATTTGTTGTTTTTCTTTTTCTTTGGGTTGGATTTAACAATTGATTGCTATTATTTGCATCACACTAACACACACACACGTTGCCAGGCATTTCGCGTCGCGCTTATTTCCTCTTTGCTTTTTTCCTGCCTATTTTTGTTGTATTTTTCTAACACACACAGGCCTTTTTCCGGAGCAAGAAGAAAGGTACCGTTGTTTTCGACGCACTGCTCGAAATGCGAAATGTGACTGAGGCAGGAAGAGGAAGAAAGCTTCTGGCGAACCCGGCCGCTCTCTCTCTCTGCTTTCTCCACCCTCGCGCCCGCTCTCGCAGTTGCTTTCGCTGTCTCTTTTTCGCTGCTCTCGCCTGCGCTCTCCTTGACGATTTTTTTTTTTTTTTTTTTTCGGTGGTGAGTTGACAACGGTCTGGGGGCTGATATTGCTATGATTTTCCCACCACCTTGGCCGCTTTTTCCTATTGAATGAAATCCACTTTGGTCTAGTTCTTCTTCCTATCCGCTGCGCTTCTTCTTTCCGCCTCTTTTGAGGCGTCACGCGCCTGCGCCAACCGAAAGACAACAAATTATTTGAGGGCAAACAGGAGAACTGATTTTTTGCACTGCACTGGGTGCCATAAAATCAGCGCTAACTGCGTTTTGAATTAACAGCCAGTGTTGCCACGTAGCCATTAAAACAGAGTTGCCACTAGGCGGTTAGTTCAAATAACTAATTTTATAAAAACTATTACTAATTTTATAAAAGAAAAGTGTGGTGTTATTACAAGGCTTATAATAATAATATTACTATAAATTTATGTAAAAATATAAA